CATCTAGCAAGGAGAAGTTTGAGATAGCTTTAAATAAAATGAAAGCGGTACTGACTGACTGAATATAGATAAAAGTAAAACAAAAATACTGGTATGCAAGGAAAGAAAATAGTAGTTAAAGAGCGAATATAAAGATAGGAGACGCAAAATTAGAAGAAATGGCTGCTTTTAAGTAACTTGGAAGTCAGATAAGTCAGGACGGACGGAGTAGTAGAGATACAAAGCAGAGGATAGCGCAGGGTCGAGTGGCCTTCAATAAAAAAAGTCACCTGTGTGCTCGCGAACGGTTAATTTAGAAATTCGAAAAAGAGTGATAAAGATGTATGTCTGGAGTGGGGAGCTGTACGGGATGAGATGCAGAAAGGGAAAGGTTAGAAGCGTTCGAAATGTGGTGTTACAGCCGAATGATGAGGATACCATGGATGGAGAAGGCTAGGAATGAAGATGTATTAGAAAGAATAGGAGAATAGAGGACTCTATAGAAGTCAATAAAGAATAGGCGAGATAGGTTGGTAGGACACCTTCTCAGGCATGGTTTATGTTATTAAATTGTTATAAATATTTCCTAAATTATCTGTATCAATTCTGAAGTTTACAGAATTTGGGTGTTCTTTTATGTGTATCATTTCTTTGATAATACGTTTTTTATAATTGTATTCCCGGTCCAAAATTTCAGGTTCTACCAACCTATCTCACCTATTTCGTATTGACTTCTGTAGCGCTCTGTTCTCTAGACATTGTTCTCCTATTCTTTCTAATACCTCTTCACTTCTAACCTTTTTTATCCACGGTAGCTTCATCATTCTTTTTGCCGCGTCCACCATCCATGTTTCGCACCCGTACAGCGCCGCGCTCTAGACATAGATACACTTTTAATTATCAATCTTTTTCGAATTTCTAAATTAACTGTTCCCGAGTGTATAAGTAACAAATTGTTGATTAATTTATTTTAAAGTAATATGCGTTATATTAAATAATTAAGAAAAAAAAAACGGTTTTAGCGTAACACTTCTCGCTGTTTTGTTTCACACGTAACGTTGTTTACGACGAAGGTGAGAATTGCTGTTGAAGTTCAGTGCAATAAAATGAAAAAAAAAAGGAATTAAAAAACAGATTGGTCGATGTCGTTTGAAAACGGTGATAGAGAACAAAAAAGTCAGCCTTCATTAAAGCAGTTTTTTTGTCAAACCTGTTTTTGTTGGAGTTTACGAAACTAAGCTGCAAAAGCAATTTTAAAAGAGTTTCTGGGTCAGTTTCAGCCTTAATTAAAAATAAAGGAAATGTACGGGACTCCTTCAAACAAAAGGAAATAAAGGAGGAAAAACCCGCGTCAATTTTTATCCGTCGCTATTCTGCGGCGGTGTGGTGCTTGGTTGGTTGCTGGGGGAAAACAAAGAACTTTACGGAAAGGTCTCCCAAGTAATTTTGCTTCGGAATTTGCATATAAAATAAAATCGTATAAATTTCTTCAATTTCCATTCTTTACCTTAAAATCATCGGGATTAGTCTAGATAACGAACTGAGACGTCCAATACGTGATCCGAAAAAGTAATTTCAAGTTGTTATCACTTTTCACTTCTTCTCTAATAAAAAATGTCCCGGTTCTTAATTCAAATCATATTCAGAAAGTCGAAGAATGTTTGATAATAAAATTTCCTTCGTAAAAAGTAAGAAATATGCATGAATTTCGCCTCGCAATTCTACCGTAAAGAAAACAAATTACCCTCCGATTTTAAAAATTCTGTTAGTTATGTTTTTAGCTGGATTCGGATATTGGTAAAATGTATCCGGGTATCGGATACGGACACTTGTAATAGAGTCAGGATCGGATGCTTTTAAATGGCAAATGCATCCCCAAAAACTGTATTTAGATACTTTTTACGGATAAAGGATCATCATCATAAGGTCGTCAGTCCTAAAACTGGTTGGACACGTATCTCCACTCCTTCCTATCCTGAGTTAATCTTCGTATTTCCCTAAAACTATCGGGTTGTTCGGAAAGTCATTTCGTTTTTTCCCGACAGAGGATTTAATTGTATTCTTTTGCACCCAACTTCACATTTAAGCCGTATAATTTTTATATGCTTTGAGAGCTCATATAGCAAGGCTTGTGTGTGAAAAATTCCAATTAATTCTACGCAGTAGTTTTTGGTTGGTGCCCTTTTAAATATGGAGAGCGATAAGCAGCATTTTCGACATATCTTACTGTTTTACTACAGAAAGGGTAAAAATGCTGTTCAAGCCAGAAAGAAATTGACTGATGTGTATGGAGAAGGTGTGTTGACAGTACGCCAGTGCCAGAACTGGTTCGCTAAATTTCGATCCGGCAATTTTGATGTCGAAGATGCACCACGTTCGGGAAGGCCGGTTGAAGCTGATAAAGACGCGATAAAGGCATTAGTTGATGTGAACCGGCGAATAACAACACGTGAGATCGGATTGAGGTTAAATTTATCAAATTCAACAGTTTATGACCACTTGAAAGGCCTGGGATTATCCTCGAAGCTCGATGTATGGGTTCCCCATGTTCTCACAGAGAGAAATCTGTGTCGCCGCATTGACGTCTGCGATTCGCTTCTCAAACGTCACGAAAATGATCCGTTTTTGAAGCGCATCATCACTGGGGACGAAAAATGGGTTGTATACAACAACGTCAAACGCAAGAGGTCATGGAGCAAAAAAGATGAACCGGCTCAAACCATTTCCAAAGCCGATATTCACCAAAAAAAGGTGATGCTGTCTGTTTGGTGGGATTTTAAAGGAATCGTTTTTTTTGAGCTTTTACCGGATAACACAACGATTAATTCGGAAGTCTACTGTCATCAGCTGGACAAACTGAATGATGCACTTCAACAGAAAAGGTCAGAACTAATCAACAGGAAAGGTGTAGTGTTTCACCAAGACAACGCGAGACCTCACACAAGTTTGGTCACTCGCCAAAAGCTTTTACAGCTTGAATGGGATACAATGCTACACCCACCATATTCTCCAGACCTGGCACCATCGGATTATTATTTGTTCCGGTCACTCCAAAATTTTTTAGACGGTAAAACCTTCACCTCAAATGAGGAGGTCAAAAACCTCCTCGATCAGTTTTTTGCCAGCAAAGACCAAAAATTTTATGAGCGTGGAATTATGCTACTACCAGAAAGATGGCAAAAGGTGTTGGACCAGAACGGTCAATATATAATTTAATAAAGTATTTGTCTGTCTTTCATTTCCACAAAAAAAACGAAATGACTTTCCGAACAACCCTATAGAACAACCCACATTCTTAACTATTTGCGAACAGTAATATAATCTAGGTCTACCACTACCTCCCCTAACTTCCGTTTCTGCCTCTAATATGTCTCTGACTAGACTTTCATGCCGGAGAAGGTGTCCTACAAACCTATCTCGCCTTTCTATTGACTTCCATAAAGTCCTCTGTTCTTCTATTCTTTCTAATACCTCTTCATTTCTAACTTTCTCTATCCACGGTATCCTCATCATTCGCCTATAACACCACATTTCGAACGCTTCTATCTTTTTTTTGTCGCCGCACTCACTGTACATGTTTCGCACCCATACAGCGCCGTGCTCCAAACCTATACTTTTAACAACCTTTTTCGAATTTATAAATTAACAGTTCGCGAACATAGAAGTAACTTCTCGTTTATTGAATGCGACTCGATCCTGCGCTATTCTCTGTTTTATATCCTTACTACTCCTACCGTCCTGACTTATCTGACTTACTAGACACCTAAAATCAGCCACTTCTAATTTTTCGTCTCCTATCTTTATATTCGCTCGTTCCCTTCTCTTTATTCCCTTGCATACCATTATTTTTGTTTTACTTTTATTTATTTTCAAACAGTACTGTTTTGTCAATACCGCTTCCATTTTATTTAAAGCTATCTCTAACTCCGCCTTGCTAGATGCTCATACTGCTATATAATCTGCAAATCTAAGCATACTAATCATTTGCCCCTGTATATCTATCCCTACAGTTGTACTGTCTTTAATGATGTTGATCGCGTCTTCGATGTATAGATTAAAAAGTACCGGTGACAGTGTGCATCCCTGTCTGACTCCCTTTCTAATATTTACTTTTTACTGTAAAATTTTTGGCTTCAATGTTGTACATAGGAAGCATAGTTTTGTATAAATCCGTTTTGATGGTTTGTTGTCTGTGGTTGTTCTTATGCTCTTTAATTCAGACATAAGGGTATCTTTTTGTTTGACAATATATCTCACATATTCTATATTGCGCTGGTTGGCTCTAGTTTAATAAGTAAGCGATTTTGTTATTGTCATAATCTAAATATGTACATAATACAAAGTCGGGTTAGTTACACCATTTATTACTGAAGAACGGCTTAAATGACCTTGAGTTTGTTGGATTCGTCTCCGCCCTGAATAGCAGAATAACTATTAAAATATCGGAAAAATGTACGGAAAAAAAAATTGTACAAAAAATTCATTTTTAAATAAATTAGATTTGGAACTACCCCATCTTTCACAATTGACAGCTCCCGTCACTGACCCTTACACCTTATTTGTAATTATTGATGTCCACTGCAAATCAGTGATATATTACTCATTATAGAATAGAAATTCAACAGAAAATAGGGGGAAAACAGCATATTCAAATCCAGAAAGATATTGAAATATATATAGAACACTCGAATCGAAATGTAAGCAAAAATACAGAGAGCAAATGTCAACAACTGCCAAATCGATTGGTATCAGTCATTGCAGATCATTCGGTCAATCAGTCATCAGTACCACAAGATTTACAATACAGAATCTACGAATCATATTATTACGTTAATAAAATCCGAAATTAATTGTAAATTTAGTTAAAAGTTAACATTACATTCATTAAGTGTTAGGGTCAGCTAGTAAGAAATACATTAATAGTACTTATCTATAAATTGACAAACTAATAATGCATTTCCTTTTAGTTAATCTTAAAAAACAAACATTATTTAATTAAGGTAGGGTTAACTTTAACTTACCGCATAGGTTTAAAAAGTGCTTGCACGTTATTCGGGTAGTCAATTACAAGTTTCAATTGGGTTCCGCCAGTCTTTTGAGCTGTAACAAAAAGAAATAATAATGTAGTACTTATACTTATTAGTACATCATTTGAAAAGAATTTCGTAATTGTTTTAACTTACGTAACAATAAATATTCTTTTAACTGTTTCTACTCGTTTTATAAATTGTTTAAAATAAAATATAACAAATATGGTAATTGTAATTTTAAATTTGTTAATTAATTCGTATTCCCGCTAAACTTCAAATTTAAAGAACACAGTTCGGAGCGTGGAGAAAATTATACTTCTGCTATAAACAATATCTAGTCATTGAAGGAGCACTCTTTTTCTACATCCGTCTGTTATCTATTTAGATGTTGTACTAAGACCTAAGACCACTTTCACACTGAGCGATAACGACACGATTTACCGCACGCGATCTGTCGTATCGTTTCGGAACCCGCTTCGACATTACGTGACTAAATATTGTTTCGACAACGTTCCAAGTTCAAATGCGAGCAGTGTTGTCTGATTCAGTTGTATGTATCTAATGGAGCGAAAAACAATAATTCTATTAATTCGACTATTTCCTAATTCAATGTTGCAAGTTACGGTTATCACTATACTAGCATATCATATAAGTGCGACGGAAATGAGTATCGGCAGCCATGGACAACGATAAGTTGGTACAACACACGACGTATGTGAAAGCGTACATTTGGTTACATTGAATTACTGTTCGTTTCAAAAAGTTGGAGATATGCCCCTTCCCTTTATTAGGATGCGCCGTAGCATAATTCCAAATTCAATCATATTTGTCTGCGGAGCTCATTTCTCCACCGATCATCGAGCGAGAGCTCGGCAAAAATTTTACAGTACCACTTGCAAAATTATTTAAACTAAATTGTTAAAATTTGAGAATATGCTTTATTTAAAAGCATATTTAGCCAAAAATAATAACAACACCTATAAAACTTTTGCTTTGTTTTCTATTGTTAATTTATATACATTTTTGTTTTAAGAAATTGCTAAACATTTTCGTCTAGTACTGTACAGTTCTAGCCGATCTCCTAAGACCGCCCATCGAGAGCTCTGCTCGTTCAAGCTTGTTCCAACTATTTCTGACTTGCTCACGCCTAGTGTGTATTCTTTCTATCTTTGCGCAGATTTCTTCAAGGTCACAATTCAAACAAATTGAAATGGGCTATACGGTGTACGTGTCGTGCATTATTTTTACCGCAACATTTGTTAATACAAATTGGAATGTATTTGCGACATTTATTACTGCAACGATTCTAATATCGGATCGCATCAGTGTTGTGGCGATTTGATAGTTTTTAAGAAAGTAATTAATTTTTTAGAGTGAAGTATTGAGTGTGTGGTTGTATATATTTTTTGGTATATCTGTGAAAACTTTAGTACTTGTATTTGTGTGTTTGGAATTTCTGTATTGTTGTATTATTATTGTGTAAAAATATTCTTTTCTTATAATTCTATTTCCATACTTACTCTATTCTATACCTGCTCTATACCTATTCTTCATCTAAACGACTATTTAATTGCCTACGTACTTTCCTATCATCCCTTTTAACAATTTAACTCTGTATACTAACTGCATGACGTCTATAATTCTTACTTTTCCTAATTGCAGTTTTATGGTCAGTTTCTTCGGTGATTTGGGGTCAAATTTAACTTCTCAATATTTCTTCTAGACTAAATTTCCAGATTTTACTAGTATCTTATTGGTTCCCTACTTTAATTAACTTATTTCTAACTCCTCCTTATCACCGTTCTTACAAGCTCTTTTCAAAAACTAAAATCAGTTCTGACTTATCCTTCCTAATTTCAACTTCACCATTCTACCTTCTTAACTCTAGTCTTCATTTTTCGTTCTTGTTTTATTAAAGGTTGTTATCGTTATTCCGCATTCTACTATTTAACCACCTCAACATCAGAACACACAACGAGACCAAAGTGTCGATGCGATTTACTACATGCAGTAAATCGTGTAGTTATCGCACGGTGTGGAAGTGGCCTAACTCTTCAAATGCTATTACGTTTGAATTTCCTTCCGCCCTTTGAAACGAATTTACTAAGATACCCATAATTAGAAAAGGAAAACAAAAACCTTTCCCGATGTAACGTTTTTTTTTTAAGAAAGTCACATCTTACGAATTCACCTTTCCACTGTATTAAAAATATACGTTGCAACCAGTCACGCAGAAAATTAAACTCCGGAATGTTTGGTAAATATGTTATCCCTGTACGTTTATACTCGGAAATATTGGGGATTATGTTATCACCTTGTTTTCCACGGTTCGCTAATAATTTGACGCCACAAAGGTAACACGTTCCTTTAATAAATGTAACTTGACGTCATAGATATACTTTACGTATGCTGTACATGCAGGCCATATTAACCTTTTTTCTTGACTGTAATAAAGTGTACAAAATTGAAAAAAGGGCCTGCTTTGAAACCTGATATGAATGCTTTTTCTTCAACTTCTGCCTACTTGTTATTACCTACTATTATGGTTATACATAAATGTACTAACGCTTAAATCTACGAAGTTTAATGGTTTGCTTATTTAAACAACATTATTGCACCTGTTTTTTATGAATGTAATAAAATTACTACAATACTCGGGTTATCGCCTAGCAGTCCGAATCGACAATTCTTAAAACATGAAACAGTTATCAAAGCTGCAGTGTGAAGGGACAACTGGAAACTAACCGGGGGATTGTGTTTTCATTAAGATCATTAATATAAAACCTCATCATTATCATCATAAGGTCGTCAGTCCTATCTTCGCATTTCCCTAAAACTGGAAAATCCCACATTCTTAACTATCTGCGAACTGTAATCTAATCTAGGCCTACCTCAACCCATCGTAACTTCTGTTTCTGTCTCTACTATGTCTCTGACTAGACTTTCATTCCTGAGAAAGTGTCCTACAAACCTATCTCGCCCATTCATTATTGACTTCCACAGAGTCCTCTGTTCTCCTATTCTTTCTAATATCTTATCTTGATTTCTATCCTTCTCTATCCACGGTATCCTCATCATTCGCCTGTAACACTACATTTCGAACGCTTCTAACCTTCTCTTTTCTGCAGCCGTACAGAGGCGCGCTCCAGACATACACCTTTAACAATCTTTTTCGAATTAATAGTTCGCGAGCATAGAAGTGACTTTTTTTATTGAAGGCGAAAGGACCCTGCGCTATCTTCTGCTTTATATCCTTACTACTACTCCTTATGTCCTGGTTGTAGTATTAGCATCTAGCAAGGAGGAGTTAGAGATAGCTTTAAATAAAATGACTAGAAGAACTATTATCGAAGTAATAAATAAATTAATATAGTAATTAATAAATAACACACATTTTAGGACAAACGACATATTCCACTACAATCTTAATTAACTATTTTCGTTAATTAAGGTTTTTGCTGTTTGTCCTTATTAAATTATTAGGTATTAGTTACGTTATTTTTTTCTTTTTGTTTTTAGTAGAATTTCACGGCACTGCCGGATACTCGGTGTTATTATTCGGTCCCCAACTGGATTATAAAAAAAAATACAACGTGTAATTATACAACACGCTACTGAAGTAAAACTTCTTCAAATACACAAACACACTGGGATAGGGGTTAAGGCATTGGTTTAATGGTATTATTTGTACCCTATGAATTTAAATTTTGCACTATATCTGCCGGAGTTGCCTGTAACGAACGTTGCATTGAAGCGCGCCAGCGCTGCCAGGTTCAAAAGATAGATTTATCGCACTCTTTAGGAAAAATTATCGTATTGACATCAAAAATATCATACGTTATTGCGCATGCGCATCGGAGTAATAGCCTAGTGGTGGGAGTATGAATTTGTAAAGAGACTCTGTGTACCCCAGTGGTTTTCTCAGTTCTATTATACCATCAATAGATGACACTATAAAAACTTTCCTGACTGGCTAATAACTTCAAATAGAAAAATAAATTTCGGGCTGGATTTTAAACATTCTGGAAGAAAGTTCTTTTTTTAGAGTCCATAAACAATTAAATTTTTTGAATGTATACAAATAAACAACTTTCCGACATGTATTTATATATCTATGCATATAGTGTATATATTTTAACATTAATTCAACATACATAAAAATATTTTTTTTTGGCGCGGTAAACGCCATCTGTAGTACAATGCTACATTTTACGGATCACTATGTATCCAGGCGTAGCTCGCCACTACGTGAGAGACACGTTACCATAAACGAATAAAGAAATTCGAAATGGTCAGAGTCTGCAACGTGCTGGTGAGATCCAANAGAGTCCATAAACAATTAAATTTTATTGAATGTATACAAAAAAACAACTTTTCAACATATATTTATATATCCATGCATATAGTGTATTTATTTTAACATTATAAAATTGTACTCAAGTTGTTAAAATCAACTATTCAACATACATAAAAATATTTTTTTTACAATAAAATCTAATGCAATAATAATAATCAACGTATTAATTCTGTTTTATTATTATATCGTCATCGCTATCATCACCATTATTCTTATTATTATTTTTATAAAGATTGTTCGAATTAAAACGAGATAACATTTCATCAGTGATCTCAAATTTATTGCATCCCCTATTCATTTCAATACACTGATTTGTAAGTAAAAGTCCGTTAACCGTCGCCAGTTTAGCAAGGAGAAGCTATTAGGATCTACCTGAGAAGCTTTCGAGAATCAAAAGAGCCGAGTTTGCCCGGCTCTGTTGTAAATTAGAGAGAATTTGTATTTTTATGGAGTGAAAATACCCCGAGACTGTTCAAATGACCATTTGTTCTATTAACAAAAGATTTTAGAAAAACAAGGCAACATGTTGGCAGAAACAAATATCATAGTCCCACTACATATTACTATATGAAAATATTTTTTTATCCCATAAGCACGAATTATCGTATGTTTAATAGAAATGTGAATTATGATATCGTATATCGTATTTGAAGCAAAATTATCGTATGTCGCCATAATTATTGTACTGGTTGGCAACGCTGAAGCGCGCTCAC